GGGAAAAAAAAGAAAAAGAAAAAAAAAAGAAAAATCAAACATACTTTTGCAAGTTAGAGGAAAATGATCCATATTCCATTTGTAAGTGATAGATATAGTCATATTTTTGAAAGTAATACCCTTCAAAATGTTGAGTTTAACTAATGGAAACACGTCCTCGCTATTCCAGGTTCCTCTCATCCTCGATTCTGGCTGAATAGCTAACTATTGCTACTTTAGGAAGAAAAAAGGACAGAGAGGAAAATATCCAGGAATAAACAAAGCAATGGAAAATGGAAAAAGCCAATTTAAAAATCAATCCTCCCTGATTTTTTCTATTGACTATTCTTAGAAATAGCACTTAGAATTTTTGTAACTGAAGTAGATATAAAAAAATTGGGTGTTCAATTATTTATTTTATGCTTTTGAAAACACTTGTGTGTAATGGGTTTCCCAGTTACACCTTTTCTATACCTCATTCTTTCACACACAAAAAACCCCCCAAAAACCTACAAAAATGGCAGATGATAACAGGGCCATGCAAGACACTTTCTCAGTCCCTTCCAATAGCCTGTCATGTAGTTTCCCATGAAAAGACTCTATTGCTACTGAAGCACTTTACTGTTACTAATTTCTTAGCAGTCTATTGTTACTAATCAGCTATGAGCAGACTGAATTCTTGACAGCTCTTGCAGTACCCACCCGTGCTAAAGGACTTGTCCTGGTAGGCATTTTTTAAATTCCATATACCACATTTTCATCAAAAGCTCACACTTTTTGGTACATATCTTGTTTCTCTATTCTTTGCAGAGAATTAGGTGAGTATTGTATACACTAGAACTCTTCCTATGAGGACTTTTTTGTCCATTTTTCTTTCGATTGTTTTTTATCAAGGAGGTTATGGAGGAAAAAAAAGGAACTTTTGTATAACTAAGAGAATGTATAACTAAGAGAATGACAGAGGTTAGAAATTTTTCAAGGTGAAAGAGGAATTATTTAGGACAGTGGATAGAATTAGTTGTGAGAAAATGGATGAAATAAATAGTAAAGAAATGGTAAAAGGGAGAAATAGTCAGAACTCATTCAGTTCCCTATGGCAGAGTCTCTCTGTAGATGTGAAAAAAATCCGTTACAGCTGTAGAACGTGTGACAGGCTATGCTGCATTTACACCAGTTGGAAGATGAGTTAGGTGGTCAAAGAAATTAAGATAACCAAGGCCCAGAGGTTTAGCATCAGAAGCTGCTTGCCTTACTCTGCGCACAAGCAGCTTTCACTTGGGAATTTGCTCTATCCCGTGAAGATATAGTCTTCAGAGAAGCTTTAGGTCTGTGTGGCTTTCTCCAAGGGTGTGTAACATTTTAGAGACGTGTGTGTACAGGAGGAGGAAGACTTAAAAGATTTCAGCCCAAATGCTCTGTTGTACAAATCCTCCACTGCATAACACAAAGGGGAAGGGTCCATTAGGGCAGCTGCTATTATATCTTAAATATGACACTGGCTATCAGCTTGCAAGACTGCACTCCCTACGCATACTGCAACAGTATCTGTTATGGCTGTAGAAGTTGGTTAAGTTGGCCAGTGGGAGCATATGATATGTGGGAGATTGGAGTTTTTTGTCAAATATGACCACTTTGTTTCATGATGTGATTGTGTATGTGTTGTTTGCAGCTGGACATATCTGATCTGTTATCTGATTTGTGCTAACACAATTTTTTTTTTTTTTGGTAAGCCTCTTCTCTGCAGTGTTTTATGTCATTAAAGTAGAATTTTACAAAATTTGACTGTACTGTCCAGGTTGGTACAGTGCAATGTGTTAACTACATGACAGAGCTAACTAGGGCAAAAGATGAAAAAACAGTTTACAATTATATTTTTCAAAATAATATGATTTGGATTGATTAAACAATTTGAAAATGCTTTTTGAGTTTTCAGACTGTTGTGGATGAAAGTAAAAGGAGAGAAAATGGAAAAAAATATGATTTCAACAAATCTTACAAGTGTTTATTTAAAGGCATTGATTTTTGAAAAGTCTACTGAAAGACTTTTAAAAGAGATTTTAAATGCTTCTTTTTTAAACTAGGTCCAAGTTTAAAAAGAAAAAAAAAGCCTGCAAACTAAAAAGAAAATGCAAATTTAGATAATAATGACCTGGGTGAGACGGTCTTATCTTGCACAATTGATCTGGAATGCGTAGTGAGTCAATGAATGATCAGTATAATCTCCCAAGCTTGTGGAATTATAACTTTTATATCTTTGGCATTATAGTATGCCAGTGCTACTTTCTAAATCAAAAACATCAGTGAAATGATGTGTCCTTGTGGGGAAAAATACCCCTGATTACACAGAGGGGTTATGACATTGTGGCAGTTTGGTAGAGGGGTGGAATGATCTGTGCTCCTGCAAGCTGGAGCGTGTTTGTATGACACTGAGGGCTACTAAAGCACAGGCATTATATGAGGCCACTAGCCATGTTTTTTACCTGTTGTTTAGCAGAGCCATCGCTCTGAATTGGAGCTGGACGAATGTCCTGCTTCCCCGTTTCAAAAGGAGGCAGAATTGCGTCTCCAGGCCAGGCCAAAGCTGGTCTGGCCGCAGGGCTGCAGGGCAATTCGTCTGCAGGGCACGAGCCTGTGAAAAACCCGGGGAAACTGAGTGCAAGCTGGAAATGACAGGGCTGAGGCACTGAGCGAGCAGAGGGTTAGCTTTGTGATAGGCCTTTTTAGTCATCGGTGCAGGGTGCCAGTCGGACACTATCAAACAGGGACCATAGAGCAAGCCATTAATATAAGGATGAGATATTTTAGCTATAGTATCTCAAGCAAATATTATGCTAATGCAAAGTGTTGTAACGACAGTCTAGAGGATAAAGTTACGAGAGTAGCTTGAGCAGCAAGATATAATCAAAATACAGCTCTTTTGCTTGGTTTGTATGTTGCCAGTGAAAAGACCTCGGTTCCCAAAGTGTGGGCTGGGAATGACTGAGATTATTGTTACTGGTCTACGACTGATCCAGAGAACTTTACAAGTGTTTTCAGTTAAACCACTGATAATAAAAATGTCTGGTGCACTGAGAAAAATTTCAAGCATTGCCAATCCTTTGAGAAGCTTTTGACGCCTGGGAACTAGATCAATTAAAATTGCTCGGTGATGAATGAGACTAGTGAAATACTTTCAGACTGAAACTTTTTCATATGTTTTTTTTTCATTTTACTCGTTTTTAAGATTTAATTTTTATGCTGCTGAAGCTCCCGGAATCCACTAAGGAATTAATAGGAGGCGCTGAACAGACCTTGCAGAATTACTGTTCTTTAGCCAAAGATTTAGAAGAGAAAAACAGAAGATACAACACAACAGATGAGAGCATCAAACAAGCCAGGCCGTGGGGCTGGAGAGACAGAGTAGAAACGATAATATCACAGTCAGAAGTTAGGGTAAATGAGAAACCCTGGTTCCAGCTTACTAGTTGCCTATGTATTAGTTATAAGGACTGCATAGTTGTATATATAAGGCACTATCCTAGTAGCCAAGTAGCACCTCCATAGTATAAACTATACCCTTTTAAGATACAGATTATGATTTAACATACAATGCACTGATGATTGTGGGAAGGAGTAAAGTCCAGCCTCCATATTCTTGATTATTCTTCCAAATTTTCCTTACTATAGCAAAAATGGAGAGTGTTTCTTCTTCCTGTATTTCCTACTTTCATGAATGTAAGTAGTCAGTTGCACAGTATCAAATTGAGGCCAGGATATTTCTAGGATATATGTGTGTGTATATATATGTTTATGTATCTGTTGCAGATTTCAAAGCAGAGAGCTGTGACAATGACAAGGATGATCTGGTAGATGAGTGGAGAACAAACTGTGTGGCTAGACCAGCTACGTAACCTTCTTCTGTCAGTAGAATAAAAACGTGTACCTTACTAGGATAAACGTGTGGCTTCTTTCCTGCTACACAGTGTGACACAGCATATAAATAAATAAATGTTAGAGCCAACCCTTTTCCGAAGGGTCAGGTTTTCTGGGCATAAGGAACTGAGCGCACACAGCAGCGAATCACAGCCTGTTTCCCGGGGAAAACCAGCAGCAGGAGGTAGACTCTTGTCACCAGACCAACTCGTTGCACCTATGCCTGCTGCTGCCTGTCCTACTGGTTCCTTGGAGTGCCTAGGGATGGACTGTGGGCCAGAAGAATTATTCTGGTTCGTTAGCCTGCTCCCAGTTGCCATTTTTTCTCTGCTCATGCTGTCTGTTGGCTGTGAGCGGGCTGCAGGCCAGACAGACTGTCCTAACAGGCAATATATGGGTGAACGGTAGCAACCTGTGCTACAGCTAGTAATAGATACTGACAGCATGCTTGATTTTCCAGCTGACTTGGTGTGGTGGCCTCTACAGTAAACTATGTGAGAAGAAGAATACTGTAGAGGTCATCAAGACCTGCTAGACGCTCTACTGGAGAAAAAAAAAAAAAGGTGATAAGTTAGGCTCTATAACGTTATGACCTCAGTAACTGCCCAAAAGCAACAGATACAGTGATGTATTTAATGATAGAGATGATATCTGGTGACCAACCACCAGGCAGACTTGAGCTGATGAAAAGAAAGGGGAAAAAAAAGTAACTTCCATTTGAGTCTGCAAAAGAAAACACTGTTAAGATGTAACTTGAGTATTTTGGCCCATTCCAAGCAGGTGATTTTTAGCAATCGGAGACAAGTCGTGTATGTTTTGTATTCAATGATGTCAGTATAGTCTGAGTTTTTGCCTTTTTCTAGTGCTAAATGTTTGCATACAACTTCCTCACATGTTTGTTAGGTTTTTGATAAGTTACGAGCTTGTGGAAGAGTGAGCAAAGGAAGGTAGAGAGCAGGTCTAAAGTAGACTCAAAGCTGTATTGCGGGACTTCAGCATCAATCTACCACATGGAAGTTAATCTGTCAGCCTTTATTTGTGTCTGAGATCTTCATAGATATTTGCCATTGATCTGATTGGACATCTCTCTCTCTTTTTGGTTTCTGCAGGATAAAATCATGGGTAGATAAGATGCAAGAAGACCTTGTAACGTTGGCAAGAACAGCAAGTGGAGTGGACCAGCTTGCTGCGGTGAGTTAGAAGACGTAGTAACTAGACTGCAGTAACTAGAATAGTGAAATGAATGGTGTACATCATCTAGGCATTGCAGTTATTTCATCCCAACACATTAATACGTTCTGGGAAATTAAACTTGGTAGTGTTTATTTTCTATAATGTTTATCAGGAGAAAAATAAGTAGCAGGCATCCATTCATTCACTCTTTTTAATTTTGCAGTGCTTGGTCATTGGTAATATTTAATCAGCTTTGCAGTACCAGACATAGGGTTTACCAATGTTACAACATCCGACTGGAAGCAAGCTCTTTTATAGTATATGTTTGTCAAATATGGTATCCAGGAAGTAACCATCCAAGGCAACGGAAAATTCTGCCCTTTGTTAAAAGGGAAGACCATTTTCTGAAATGTATTCACTGAAATGATGCAGCCTTTGTTGGTCAGAAGAAATGAATATAGAAACCAGTTTTACTAACTCAAGTATGTTTCAGGGAAGAATTTAAAATTCTTGTATTATTGAGAAGAAACTTTTGAACTGTGTTTCATGGACAGATGCAAGTAAATTAAAAGCACATTTTGTGATTGCAGAATTAGAGTCACAGTTCAGGAAATGTCAGGATTAGGCTGCCTGTACAACTTTGTGGGTGTACATCATTATACAATATGCAAACACTGGATCATATATTTCCCTCTCCCTTTCCTTGCACAAGTCCCATGCCTCTTTCTGTGAACCAGTGGAAATGTGGGATGATGGAGGATCATAAAAGGAAAGGAACTTTTGCTATTAGGACAGGAACTAAAGTTATTCTGCCAGCCAACAATTTTAAAAAAGTTCCTCATCTGCGTGGAGATGAACCTGTGTTTTTGCATTTTGTAAGTATTTTTGGGAAATCCACAAGTTGTTTTATTCTAGCTTGGCCAGTAGTAAAGGGTAGAGCATTTACCTAGGATGTTAATGAGCCAAATCACAGAATCTCAGAATAGTTGAGGTTGGAAAGGGCCTCTGGAGATCATCTAGTCCAACCACCCTGCTCAAGCAGGCTCCTCTAGAGCCCATTGCCCAGGATCGCATCCAGACAGGCTTCGAATATCTCCAGTGAAGGAGACTCCACTACCTCTCTGGGCAACCTGGTCCAGGGCTCTGTCACCCTCACAGTCAAGAAGCATTTCCTCATGTTCAGATGGAACTTCCTGTGGTTCAGTTTGTGCCCGTTGCCTTGCGTCCTGTTGCTGGGCACCACGGAGAAGAGACTGGCCTCATCCTCTTGACACTCCCCCTTCAGATACTTGTACATGTTGATGAGATCGCCTCTCAGTCTTCTCTTCTCCAGGCTGAACAGGCCCAGCTCTTGCAGTCTTTCTTCCTAGGAGAGGTGCTCCAGCCCTCTAATCATCTTGGTAGCCCTCCGCTGGACTCTCTCCAGGAGTGCCATGTCTCTCTTGCACTGGGGAGCCCAGAACTGGACACAG